TTAAAATGTACAATTTTTATCACAGACACAGTGTATGAAGTAAGGGGTATCGTTCAGCCTGCTGTTGTATCTGCAAGCTGGATACTGAGCAGAGCTGATCAAAACGAAGGGTTTGTTTGTGGAGATCAAAAGCTTTTGGCTGACAATTTAATATATCGACTCAGAAATTCCCCTAGAATGCCTCCGGAACCACGTCCCACAATTTAATTCCAGGCCTTGAAGGAAGACATTTCCTTACCTCAGCTCAACAGCTAGAATATGGAGTTAATACTGTTACCGTGGAAGTTGTGACCATCACTACAAGAAATATTGTGAGGTACTCAGAGGTACAATGTTGATGAGGGCCTTAGAAGGGCCTACCAACCCAGTTTATGAACTCTGTTATAAGGCATGCAAATATAGTTACTCCCACTTACCTGCCCTCTGTGGCACCCTACCACCCTGACCTACTGGGCCAGAAGCTCTGGTGTCCCTCAGCCAAGGCACAGATTTGTGGTTACTGCTCCCTAGCAGAGCATCCCAGACAGTGTACCAGATCAGGTCTTGGAGACCTTTGCTATAAGGGCTCAGAAGCCAGGAATCCAACCTCCAAAAGGGACCAAACACCCAGATAAATCCATCTTACCCTGAGTAAAAGTTTTTCAAAGGGAAAGCTCATAAAGATGTTCACCCCCTTTTTCACTTCAAGAGAGATATGCACAGTGGTTGCTCACTCTACCCTGCAGGTAACAGTTATTGACTCTGGGTTTGATAATATATATATGTGTGTGTGTGTTTAACTGAATAGAGAAAGTAGCTTTTAAGTGTTACTAAGTGAAAACAGACAGATCAAAGTAAATTACTGAATCAAAATAAAACAAAACTTGCCAGCCAAGACTAATGAATTAAAAGAAGTTGGTGCTAATCATATTTCTCCCCCTAGTTCTTATCTCAGATGCGCAAATCTTCACAAGCCAGACCTGGTCTTTTTCTCTGACCTGGGCCCAGCCATGCTCCTCTATCCTTTTTATTACAGCACAAATTTTTCTTTTCCAGGTGTTCTTGTGTAGCCTCTTTGGGTGGGGAGACCATTTAAAGGCCAGCTGAAGGCCATTGTTGATTGCTTCCCATCCCTTACCCAGAATTTCCCAAGGGCAGGAATCCTTTGTTTCATCCTCTCCATTCCAATGGAAAATAATAAATTCAATATGGCTTCCAGCGCCAGATGGCATGGTCACATGCCTTTGTAGAGCCAATCACATTTTGGGCTTACAGCAAAACCAAAAACATGTATGGATCATTGTCTTGAGCAGTGGGCTACTGAGTTCCTTAAGTATTACTAATAGCTTTCACCAGAAGACCGAGAATTAATTAAACTGGTTCACACTTCATATTTCTAACTTCACATACAAGAATAATACCTGCACACATGCAAAATAACTCATTCTGGGGATTACCGGCTCTTGAATGATAGTTTATTTGCCCTGCTTTGAATAAACCATGTTTGGGTTAGGCACATTTATATTTAAAAGCATATTTCCATAAAAATATGGGGGAGTCCCTGTGACAAAGTGCAGATTGTATTCACTAGGTGGGGATTGTATTTTCTCTGTTTCCTTGTTATGTTGCATGTGATTTCTACTGTCCTGTAGTAACCACATGTGTGTGCCTCAGTTTGCCAGAGCATTGCACTATGATCTAGATGGGGAGGGAAATTCTGGGTATGACTCACTGAGGGAGGATACTTAGCTCAGCATATTCACAATGGCCTCCAGAGGCAGGCTTCTCAGTCTACAGGGTAAGGGCAGGGCTGCATCTGTGAAGCAAGTGCCTGGTTCTTTTGGAGGTACATGGAAGGAAGGTCATGGCGTACTGGGGCATGGGCACTGGAGGTGATACTGGCCCGGCCTCAGGTGGTGGCCCCAGACCACTTGGTGCCCAATGCTCACTTGACACTGGCAGGTACTTGTGGCCAGAGTGCATCTGAAATGGGGGGCTAAGGAAAGCCTCAAGGAGGTAGGGATGCACCATCACATGCCTGCAAGGGTGGTGATGGGGGGGCGCTGACTGAGAGGACTGGCCAGAAGATCCCTGTAGGACCCTAGTTACTATCTGTAGCCCATTTGAGCTATTATACAGAAGAGGAGAGAAGAGACCCTGGGACGTGCTGAGAGATGAATGGGAGAAGCGGGGTGGAGGATGTACTGGTTTTCTGAGAGAGGCTCGCTGAGCTTATGGGCCTGGCCAGAGAGAACCTAAGCAGGGCCCAAGGGAAGCAGAACTTCTGGTATGACCACAGCGCATGGGCCTGGGATTAGGGGATGATTCTCATCCCCATGTGAAAGAACAAGTTGCAAGCAGCCTGGGACTGGCTGCAGCTTTATAAGGGCCTGCACCATTGCCAGGCGTGGGGCCAGGCTGACTGTAAAGGCCGGGAAGTGCAAGGTGGGGATGGCAGAGGTGTTTTACCCTGGCCATAAAGTGGGGAGCAGCTGCTTAATACCCGAGCTGGCCAAGGTGAAGGCCATCAGGGATTGGTCTGCTCCTAGACTAAGAAGCAGGTCCAGGCCTTCATTGGGATGGTGGGGTGCTACCGGAGGTTTGTGTCCAAAGTTAGCTCCATCACTTCCCCCATCACTGAGCTGTGTAAGAAGGGGAAGCCAGACAAGGTGGTCTGGATTGAGCGGGGCCAGAGGGCTCTCAGTGCACTGAAGAAGGCCCTGGTTCTGGTCAATCTTTTGACAAGCCCTTTCTGATATTCACCAATGCCTCAGACACTGGACTGGTGCGATGCTAATGCAGGTGGATGAAAAGGGGGAGTGACACCCCATTATGTACCTGAGCAAAAAGCTGCTGCCCTGGGAACTGAACTACACAGCCATAGGAAAGGATATCTAGCTATGGTGTAGGCTCTTAGAAAGCTGCAGCCGTATCTGTTCGGGTGGCATTTCATAGAATCATGGAATCCTAGGCTGAAAGAGACTTCAGGAGTCATCAAGTCCAGCTCCCTGTCCAAAGCAGGACCAACCCCAACTCAATGGGACTTGGTCAAGCTGGGACTTGAAAACCTCTAGGGATGGAGATTCCACCACCTCCCTAGGGAACCCATCCCAGCGCTTCCCCACTTGCCTAGGGAAATAGTATTTCCTCATATCCAATCTAGACCTCCCACACTGCAACTTGAGACCATTGCTCCTTGTTCTTCCATCCATCACTACTGAGAACAGTCTCTCTCCATCCTCTTTAGAACCCCCCTCAGTTATTTGAAGGATGCTATCAAATTCCCCCTCACTCTTCTCTTCTGCAGACTAAACAAGCCCAAATCCCTCAGCCTTTCCTCGTAAGTCGTGTGCTCCAGCCCCCGAATCATTTTTGTTGTGCTCCGCTGGACTTTCTCCACACCCTTTCTGTCATGGGGAATCCAGAAATGAACACACTACTCCAGATGTGGCCTCACCAGCACCGAATCAAGGGGAATAATCACTTCCCATGATCTGCAGTCAATGCTCCTACTAATGCACCCCAATCTGCCATTAGCCTTCTTGGATACAAAGGCACACTGTTGACTCCTATCCATCTTCTGTAATTCCCAGGTCTTTTTCTGCTGAAATTCTACATAGCCAGTCAGTCCCCAGCCTGTAACAATGCCTGGGATTCTTCCGTCCTAAGGGCAGGACTCTGCACTTGTCCTTGTTGAACCTCATCAGATTTATTTTGGCCGAGTCCTCCAATTTGTCTAGGTCACTCTGGACCCTATTCCTGCCCTCCAGCGTATCTACCTCTCCCCCTAGCTTAGTGCAACTACCCTCCTAGCTCCCCCTTTCACCGTGTACACAGATTACCCTCCCCTGACTTGGCTGCAACAAATGACCAATACCAAGCTGTTGAGATGGAGCCTGAGCCTGCTCCTGCAGGATTACGACATGGAGGGGTCCATGTTAAGGGAGAGCTAATATCATAGTTGATGTGTTACCCCACAATTCAGTCAGGTCTGAATTTCCCCAGGCCACTGACTAAGTGACCCTGCTCAGTTCGGTCTCAAAGGGGGGAGAGAGGTGAGGAAATGAGGATTATATTCACTCTGTTCACTTGTTATGTGGTATATGATTTCTGTTGTCCTGCAGTAATCGCATGTGTGTGCCTCAGTTTGCCTGGGCACTGCACTACTATGGATGGGGATGGGAATTCCGGGTGTGAGTCACAGAGAGAAGATGCTCAGCCCAGAATGTTTACAATGGCCCAGGCTCACTGTAACCTGAGCCTGGGGGTGGTGTGTGTGTGTGTGTGCGTGTGTGGACTTTTGACAACAAAACTATACCTGCATCTACACTGCCGCTGAGTTCTGTCGACATAAAGTCAACAGAACTCAGCAGTTTTGTCGACGGCGGTAAACCTCATTCTGTGAGGAATAATGCCTTTTGTCAACAGAGTTCTTTCAACAGAAGGCGTTATTGCATCTACACTGTCCTTTGCGTTTATACTGTCATGTCAACAAAGCAGCTTACTTTGTCGACAAAACTGGATGCAGTCTAGATGCTTTGTGGACAGAAGTTTTGTTGACAGTATCTGTATTCTAGACATACCCCAAGTGACACCTTTTGCCCGGGAAGCTGGAGGCTGGGCTGGCAAGGACAGAGATGTGCTGCGTTAGTGAGTTAGTCTCACTGGCTTAGGAGGAGAGATGGGGATCCCTCTTCCCAAGATGGATGATATTGCCTGTTTCTGGTTCCTTGCTAACAGGTCTGTTCTACACTGTGTCCCTGTGAACCAATAATTGTTCTGATCTACCTGCTGCCTGGGAGTCACATCTGTCTGCAGATGGGGGTGCTGGCCCCTGTGGCTCCCCACGCCTCGGTGACAGTCACATCACATAAACAATTCATACATGGTGAAAGGAATTTCTTTAATTCATCATTCAGTGTGGAAAGTAAAATCAAAGTAGCCAACACATCTGGCCATTCCCCCACCCTCCCATTTTTTATTTATAATTAATAGAATTAGACGGAGGCCAGAGACCAAAGTATCCATCTATCTTGACTGTGAGCATCAGCAAAAACTGGAGCATCTTTTCAATTCTTTCATTTTACATGTGGATCACATCACCAAAGGGGGGAGTTCTGAGGCTCCCCTCCCTTAGCTGTGTTGTAGCAAGTTGTAGAAAGAGCTTTGAACTTCAAAGGCTCCATAACCCATTCTGCTCACTGTCGGCATTTGTTTCGGAGACAAGACTTGACTTGAAACTATTCACAAGAGTCTTACAAATTCTGTGAATACCTTTGACCCTAAAATAAGATGTGTGTGCGATGGGGAGGATTTAGGTGCTGGTCACAACCTCTCTTGGTCTTGTTGGGAAAACTTCCTGTCAGGGTGGTTAAACACTGGAATAAATTTCCAATTCTTTCAGTCTTTCCTCATAGCTCATGTTCTCTAGACCTTAAATCATTTTAGTTGCTCTTCTCTGGACCTTTTCCAGTTTCTCCACATCTTTTTTGAAATGTGGTGCCCGGTACTGGACACAATACTCCAACTGAGGCCTAATCCGCGCAGAGTGGAGTAGAAGAATGACTTCTCGTGTCTTGCTCACAACACTCCTGTTAATGCATCTGTTGACATCTGTACTCCACCTGACTCAGAGAATATTTTTCATCATGAATCTTCCTCAGTGATGGTCTACACTACAGCTGTCAGGAGCGTTAAGTTATATTATTTCAGTCACTGTAACTCTCCCATTGACATAGCATGGTGTGGACACTGCTGTAAGCCAAACGAATTTACTTGGCATGGTGTAACTTACATCGATTAACTGCATTAGCATCACCCAGCCTTGAGAGAGATCCAGGACGGAACGTACCCCAGTCACTGTCTAGCAATGTGGCTGACCCATTTTCAAATTGCTTCAACACAACAGACAGGATTGATCCTGTGACTCCCACTTCCTATGTGAGTGCTCTGATCACTGGAACAAAGTCTACTAGGGTTGCAGCATCATCACTGCCTCTTCCACGCCCATCCATTTTTGTCAGTCTAGCCCCTCATGGTCTTTGCTTTTACAATGAAGTATAATCAGGAGGGGGAAAATGTGCCATTTCTGGACATGTTAATGTTTCTGTGGACACCAATGAACATTTTGGTCAGTGTTTTCAACAGACAAAATATTTAGGGAGTTGTCACATTTAGATCATGTTTTCTGCCCACCCATGAACTTAAAAAAGCAGCTGTTGACACAGCACTAGTCATTCACCATCCCTGGAGCCGTACAATTCTCAGAATCTCCACTTTTCAGAGTCTATAATAAATCCCAAGAGAACTAAAAGCAGGAACATATTTCACACCTTCTGATGAGGTGTAAATATCCAGGGTCTGAGATTACTGAAGCTCCAGGTTTAATGTCCTAGAAAAACCTCAACATTTCCATGTTATTTTATACTCAGTTCAGTGCAGTGGAACAAAGGATGCACACAAACCGTTCTCTCTTAAAAAAAAGATGCTCATCGTTGTTTTGTCGTTCGCTTCATTGAAGTGAAAACCACTGTCATGGAAATCGTGTTTCTCCTAATAGCGCATGGACCGAAATCTGTTGGGACCGAAATCTGGTGACAGTCTTGTAAAGAACACCACAGATCAGATACAGGGCTACAGAGTATCAAGAGGGTGTGTAAACTCCCTTTCGTTCTGCCCTATATATCACATGCAATTGCATAATGAAATTTTGCCATGCTACAAAGGAGAGAGACATTTGATGCCCCCTCTTCTTTCTGAATACAAACAGCTCCAGGCTTTCAAAGAACATCACATATATTTATAAACTGGTCCCTCCTTTAATTTTGCTTGGGTAATAGCTTAGTGAAGCCCTGAAGCCCTGATCTCAGATGGGGCCTACAGACCTTGTTAGAATACAAATAAATTAATCAATTCATCATAAGAACAATAGGATAATGAACAATACTGACGCATAGTCTGCAAAATGACATTGCTATGGCTTGGGAAATGAATTCACCTGTTTCCACAGCCCATCACTCAACCAGCACTGGAATGAACAGATTCAGGCATTCCGTAGGAGTTTATTCATGGCTTTCCTCACGGCGTCCTTCACCTCCCTGTTCCTCAGGCTGTAGATGAGGGGGTTCAACGTGGGGATCACGAGCGTGTAGAAGATGGAGGCCATTTTGTCAGTGTCCATGGAATAGCTGGAGGTGGGACGTAAATACATAAAGAGGAGGGTGCCATGAAACAGGACCACTGCAGTCATGTGACAAGAGCAGGTGGAGAAGGTTTTGCATCGGCCCGAGGCAGAGCGGATCCGCAGGATGGTGGGGATGATATAGGCATACGAGAAGAAGACAATCATGACACTACTCACTATAATGAAGCATGTGAATGCAAACAGAACCATCTCATTGATGCGGGTGTCAGAGCAGGAGAGCGCCAGCAATGGGGGGATGTCACAGCAGAAGTGATTGATGATGTTGGAGTGGCAGAATGACAGCTGAAATGTCAGACACGTGTGTATCAATGCATCTACCATCCCCACAGCACACACCCCAGCCACCAGCTGGTTGCAACGCTGCCTGGACATGGTGACCATATAGAGTAGCGGGTTACAAATGGCCACATACCGGTCATACGCCATCACAGCCAGCAAAAGACACTCAATATCTGCAAAGGCGATGAAGAAATACATTTGCACAGCGCAGGCAGTGTAGGAAATGCTTTTCCTCTCAGCTAAAAAATTCTGCAGAAGCTTAGGGGATATTATAGTGGAATAGCAAAGATCACAAAAAGACAAATTACCAATGAAAAAGTACATAGGGGTGCGGAGTCGGGGGTCAGTCATGATTAACAAGATCATCCCCCCGTTCCCAACCAGGGTGATAACATAAATCAGTAGGAACAACACAAACAGGGGGACTTGGAGCTCCGGACGATCTGTCAGTCCTGAGAGAATGAACTCAGTCACCACCGAGTGATTTCCCTCTTCCATATCCTCTGAGCAGAGATCAGGAAACTACAGTGAGGTGAGGAGGAGAGTGTCTTGGGGATTTTATCCCTTCTCTGTAACAAATTAAGTGAAGAAAAATGGAGATCAGTTTCTTAATGTTCACAGCTGGTCATGTTAGGTGTCCCCATGCAATGTACACAGTGTACACATACGAGGAAATGCAGGTAATCGTGCCCCATGCACAAACACTGCCCTTCTCTAATCCAAGCAGCAGACAGTGACTTGTGACTTTATTGTGATAGAATCAGTGTCTCTGATTGAACAGACGATTGCTTATCTGAGGACTGGGTGAGAGTAAATGAAGTTCAAACTCTCTTCCTTATTTGGGCAAGGAGACCTCTGTAGCTTGCTTGCTGTGCTTATGAAGCTTTTTTTCCCATCTGAAATGGCATTTCTGTTGATATGTATGAAAACCCTGAGAGATACTGGAAATCACCTGCATCAGTGGCTACGTAATTGCCTGCGGTGTTGTGTCTGTACCTCAGAGGGGTTGAAGCTTTCAGTGCTAGAGACCATAAATGAAAAATCTTATGATCAGGACGGGGTCTGACTGAGTGAGGTACTCTATAGACACCTACCTGCTGAGAAGAAGAAGATGTGGTGATGTTTCCCCATCGACAGAAATTACTTATTTTGAGCGTTCCTGTAGCTTTATACTAAGACCTATTCCTCGGGAAATGCTCCCTGAAGTAAATGGGAATAACTGAGCTCAGAGATGCACCACACCTAATTAATGAGCTCAGTGAACCAAAGTCATGCTTGGTGTCACTCAAGCCCTGGGGATTAATTTATTAAATTATGCAATTTTTTTTCTATTGAAGACCACTCACTGTGATATTTTATGACCTTCTCTCACTATGTATTTTCCAAAATAGCCCAGATCATTTCTCATTGGCCTTGATGGAGATGATGGGATGTGAGCACAGACATTTGTTCTGTATAGTTAACTGGGCATTTCTCTGGAAAGGTGGAAATGACCCTTCTGAAAGCGTCTGTAGTGGCCTCTTCTCATTCCATGCACCTGGAAGCAGTATTTTCCAAAGCATTCAGCATTTCATTGAGCCTATGGATTCTTATGAAAACGTGGGTTTAAATTCCTTCTGTCTCAATTTACCCATCTCTGACTGAGATTAACACTATTTATGTGCCTTTCAATTGGGTTAATAAAAAGTTGTAAGCCATGACATGGTCTTTTTGTGGTATGTCTGTGCCACACACAGGAAGATTAGTTAAGGGAGCCTTGGAGTGAACTCAGCCAATCAGAAGAGGGCTTATTGAGTGAACCTGTAGGGAGTAGCCAATCAGGGCCAGGCTTGCCATTATAAGAAGAGCTGCTGAGCAGAACTCTCCCTTCAATGCTGCTTGGATTGATTACCTGGAGAGGAGCACCACAGCCAAAGCAGGGGAGGGAAAGGGAGCTACAACCTAAGTGACTGGCAAACTGAAGCCCTGATACAGGGATAAAGAAGGGGCTGAGGCTATGGGGAAGTGCCACAAGGAAACAGGGAGATATAGAAAAGGGGCCGTTGGTGGCAGATGTCTATAGAGTACCTCATTCACAACTCTGCATAGCAGGTAAATCTGGGTCCCCGCTCATGTTCACCCCACTTGCAAATGAGGAGAGTGGCCGGTATCCAGACTGCATAATGCCCCTGAGGTCAGGGACTGAACCTTGGGCTGCAGTTGGCCACTGAGTCAAGTGATGGGTGTTAGAACTGCTGGTGCCCCAGAAGGGAGAAGATAACGGGGTAGGGCACTGTGCTCAGAAAAGTTTGCTGCTGTCTGAGGAATAATGCGGGTCATGGCGTGGCCGGTCTAAAGCAAAAGCGACGGTGGTGAGGCCCTGTTGGAGAGTTAAATCCCAGAATGGCCAGGAGGCGCTACTACAGGATCAGCCTTAGCTCCATTACAGGACATCCTTAATGTAGTATCTGTGAGCTCCTTGTAAGCTAGTTCTGTTTATTGTTACAACTTCATAGGGTTGCCAGGTGTCTGGTTTTGAATCGGACAGTCCAGTATTTGAGCTTTCTGTTCAAGAAACAGTTTCTTCTTGGAGTAATAGCTCATGTCCATTCCATGTAGGTGACTCCAAAACGGAGACCCCAGGAGGCAGGGTCGGAGTTCTAATCTTCCACTGAATGGAGGCTAGCTCTACCCAGGGCAACGTCTCCTCATACCTGTTGTGTCAGCCCATAGTGATTGGCAAAAGTGTGGAGAGAGGACCACGGGGTGGCCCTGCAGTTCTTGAGGATTGGGACCTGAGCCACAAAAGCTTCAGAGGAGGCCTGAGCTCTAGTAGAGTGGGCTGTGAAGTGAGGAGCTGAAACCCCGGCCAGCCCATACCATTCCTTAATATAGACCATGATCCGGGAAGAGATCCTTTGTGCAGAGCCTGGCTGGTCTTCTAGCTGCTCCGCAATGGCAACAAAGAGCTGAGGCGACCTGCGGAAGGGCTTTGTCCTCTCTAAATAAAAGGTTGAAGCCCTCCTGACATCCAAAGTGTGCAACGCCTGTTTCTTACCCGATGGATGGAACTCTGGGGTAAAAGATTGTCAAGAAAATGGCCTGTGACACATGGAAGTAGGACCCCACCTTCAGCAGAAGGCTGGGTGGGGCACAATCTGACTTTATCCTTAAAGAAAACTATATTTGGGGGGTCCGAAGTGACATCCCTCATTTCGGACCCATGCCTGGCTGTTGCAGTGGCCACCAGGAGGGATATTTTATAGACAGGTGCAGCAACGAGCACTTTCAAAGGAGGGTCTCGTAAGGTTAGAAAGGACCAGGCTGAGGTTCCACTGTGGAACAGGCTGCCAAACATGCGGGTGAAGCCTGGCTAGGACCTTTAAAAACCTGTTCGCTATGGAGTCCGCAAAGAAGGTCTTACCCCTGGAACCTGGGTGGAAAGCAGAGATGGCCGCTAGGTGAACCTTAATTGAGGAGGAGGGTAACCCCTGTAGCCTAAGATTCAGAAGGTATGATTTGGGGGACTGGGGCTTCCATAGCTGGTACCCTCCCTCTCAAAAGCCAGTTGATCAGATAGGGGCACATCTGGACTCCTCTTTTTCTCAGAGCGGCAGCAACAACAACCATACACTTTCTCAAAATATTCAAATTTTGAGAAGGATGGAAAAAGAACTACATCTGAACCCTAAAATCATATTCAGAGTAAACCTTTCCCCATTTGCTCATCATGCCCATGTTACCTCTGGAGGTGCTGTCTGAGGTAGCCAATGGTGTGGAGTGCTGTATTTGTTGCAGTCTAGCTCAGAACCAGACTGTCCCACATCCATATCCACTGTCGTATGTACCAGATCCTTCTACATGAGATCTTGCTTCTGTTCTCATCAATGCTCCTCCCCTGCTGAGAAATTTTCCCCATGGCTGAGGGGAACTACTCAGTACTGTATAGAGTAGAGGCTTATATTTAATGCTGTAACACTCGTTTTACCAGAACAATGATGATCAGCGGATTATGAACTTAATAAAGAGAAAGAGGGACTGATTGTGTGTGAGAGTCACTCTTTCATTTCAATTTCCAAAATTCCTATATTCTTAAAGGATCCAAAATTCCTATATTCTTAAAGGATATCTTTCTGTTTGATCACAGAATGTGAAAAGTAAAAATAAAGTTGCTAACGTGCTTATTTGTGTGTGTGTGTGTGTGTGTGTGTGTGTGTGTGTGTGTGTGTGTGTGTATTTATAGTGAGTGGAATAATGAGAGTGTCTGGGTTTGAAGTATCTATCTCCCCTTTCTGTGAGCATCAGCAAATACTGGAACAACCTAACAATTCATTAAAGTTGCCTGTAGAAGCAAAGATCATCCAGTGTAGGAAGTATGTGGCTCCTCTTCCTTAGCCGTGGGGGGAGGGTAGGGAGAGGGGCAAGAATATTAGGTACCAGATACAAAGCAACAAAAAAGGTGGCATAGGTGCACTCACCCTTTCTAATTTACAGTAAAACTCCATTGGTCCGGCATTCAATGCTCCGGCACTCCTGATAGTCCGGCACCAGAAGTGCTCGGGGAGCCGGACAATTGGAGCTGCTCTGCACCCGGCTTCCCCGATTTAGCTGCTGCTGGAAGCAAGAATATTAGGTACCAGATACAAAGCAACAAAAAAGGTGGCATAGGTGCACTCACCCTTTCTAATTTACAGTAAAACTCCATTGGTCCGGCATTCAATGCTCCGGCACTCCTGATAGTCCGGCACCAGAAGTGCTCGGGGAGCCGGACAATTGGAGCTGCTCTGCACCCGGCTTCCCCGATTTAGCTGCTGCTGGAACTGACCAGCAGCTGAATCGGGGAAGCTGGGGGCAGAGCAGCTGAGGTGCTGCCCAGGCTGGCTGGCTGGGCCGCCCCCTGGGGCTGCGGGACCAACCTGGCCGCAAGCCAGCTGCTCC